AAGACTGTCAACGTCTTAGTTCAACGATAATTATAAAGCTATATCACTGCGCTGAAATTGCGCGAAAAACTTATCCATCTTCCACTAGTTAGTTTTACTCAATAACATCTATCGAATGTATCACTCAGAAATTGCTCCATGTGAGCAGAGTAAAAAGGATGATTCATTTAGTTAGCTACAAAAACTAATAAGACCAATAGAAATACTATCTTTTCTCATTTGATACTTGTAAGGGAGACATACGGGTAATCTTGTGGAAACTCAGGCTTGTCTAAAGAATCTGACCGATGTCAGTTACTCCTTAGAATAATTGGTTTTAGTCGATATTAAGTTCACTGTTTTGAAAGATAATGGTGGGAAATCAACAGTATCTAATATTGATAAAAGATATTGCTCGAATGAAGATGTTTATGGTATAAAGACAAAGAAAACCAGCAAAATAGTTAAAAAGATGCGGTAAAGCATGCGGAGTGAAAGTCTGCAATCCTGATAGGAAATAATTAGTCAGTATTATAGTTTGATTGCTTTTAACTAATCCACTATAATATTAATCGTTGGCCTAAATTTCCTTGTTCAAGTGGTATTTAATCAGTTATAATAAAATCTGCAAATACCTCAACAACTTTGGCCTGCAAAAGTGAGTTAAAAAAATAAGTTCTACAGGTGAGTTGTTCATCGAGGAAATTATTGTGAACTTTTCTCTGATACTCATCTTCAGAAGTCTAGCCTTCGAATAAAATCCCAAATAAAAACACATCTTTAAGACAACCTACCTAGTATCCCACTTTCTATGAATTTCTCTAAGTGACTAAGGCCATTATGTCATGCAGGAGTTTGTGTAGATATATGATTCAGTGACCATTTAAAAAAAAGAGAACTTGTTTGAAATGATTTGTAAACAAGTATCGTTCAAACTATCAATCTAATATCACAAAAATCAATTTTCAAAACCAAACTGTGTGGGTTACCCAGTTTTCCCAAGGAGTCATATCTAAACGAAAAATACACGTGGAAATCAGCTATCAGAGGAATCAAAAATAAGCCACAGAACTATCGAATTACAGCATGATTCTTTTATTAAATGTTTTGCATAAGTGATGAACCTGACATCCTTATAGTATCATAGTTATCGTTTCTTCATTTTTGACACTTCGAAAGAATGTTCTTATCATTTATATTAGTAACATTTTGTAAGTAAATGTTTGGGCGTATAAGCAAAGTAAAACATGCAACTGAGAAAATAAATAATCATTTCAGAGTGAAATCAGTAGAAAAACGATCGAAAACCTATGAGCAACAGTTCTATGGATAATGTCAGTTGGTAATGAGAGCGAAAAATTCCCCCAAAAACCTTTTTTTTAATGACACTTTTTACATTTGATCACTTTATAGTTGCTGAAGACATAAAATAGCCTGTATTAGTTGAATTTTATCTGGTATGTAGTAATATCCTATAGGGATTCATCTGAGAATAACGCTTCTAAGCAGTAATGGTTTTTTAGTAGTACAGATTCCATTGAAATAATGACTATCTCTCACTAGTGGATAACGGCAAACACATGGATTATATGTAATAACCTCTGCTGATGGTCAGCAAACATAGAATACAAAATATGAAATTATACATAAACAACAATATTTCAACCATTACCAAAGAACAGTAAGAGTTCGAATAAAAAAGGATTGGAATTATTTGTCGTAATATAATTTTCCTTAGCTACTTACCAAAAAGCGAAGAAATGGATGGCAAATAGCTTAGTCTTTCTTACAAAGCATCAGTCATAGGTTGACCAGCCCAGTGTCAAAGGTGCTAACTTCAAAGTTGACGGATGTAGGTACATGGTTTATCTTAAGGTTTTATGTACACTTTGGTGATGAGCACACGCACACATATGCACAAAACCTGTAACCATAGTCTGTTGCCTGTTGACATCCGACATTGAAGAGATAAAAAGTAAGTTTAAAATTCCAGGTTAATTGCTGCTTTATTCGAAAGCAACGTCAATAAATCATTCAATGAATTACATAAGCAATAATAGGCTTCTGATAGAAGCATTTCATTATCTAATGAATGCTGATTAAATGGCCCTGTAGTTGAATCAGAAATCGCATCTAAGATATACCCTCAAACATGTTTTCTTTTCTAGGTTGAACTAAAAGATGCACAAAAGAAGAGGCCATTTACGGACCATGTTCATTTTTGAACAGTACATACAGAATTGAGAAATCAAAGTTAGAATTCGGAAAAAACCCAGCATGCTAACTACTTATAGAGTTTGAAGGTAATGCTTTCCTTAAAAAACTGTTCACTACTTGTCTATTTTCTTGCAAATAACTTTTCCAGAATGCGATTGGCAGATCTCCAGCCATTTAACCGATTTACTTCTGCTGTTATCTTCCTCACTTACTTTTTACTTGGTAATGTTCTTACTAATCACTGTTGTTTTTTAATTATCAGCCGGGACCCTCAAGTTTTTCCTCATTTTTATTTCTTTTATTCTATGTTTGGATTTCTAGATATAAATACATCTAGAGAGTCAGATATCGAATTTACACCTTTATGCAAAATACTAGCAATGATTATCACAATTAGCAACCTACTGAACAAATTAATGAGTTATCCTAGATGCTTAAATATTAGTGAGTAGTATCATTTCTTTCAGCAGAATTCGAATCGCAAATTTTGTATCCTACAAGTTTAATATTTGTTGACCTCTTTTACTGGTTCTAAAAGATGATAATGAATGAAATTGATCGATAATACTGATCAATAACTAACTTTTCCAAATGAAATCACATTTTTTGTGAACTACGAGTGATACATATCTTGTTTGTGATTAACCAGAACACGGAAGTAGCAGAAAATAAATCCGACCAAGTGAATCGAAAATCCTACAGAATTTTATAACCATTTGCCATTGAATAACTGCTACTGTTTCATGCATTACAAACTAAGTTGCAGAGGATTTTGTGAACAGCTGGCTGGCAAAAGAAAGTTGGTTACTCATAGTGATATTTATTACTGCATTTCAATAGTCTTTTGAAGTCAAGAATTTCTAGCAACCGATAAGAAATCATTGCTGTTTTAACAGTGGTCATGATTAACATCCTGGTTCCTGGTCATATTATCACTAGACTATAATTATACACTAGAACTCATGATTTTGGCTATTGAAGAAGAACTGCCGCAAAACGTTTCCAAATGCACATTGACGGGTCAATGGAGGGTGATCAACTTCACGTTGTCTGTTGGTCGTTTTCCATAGTGGCCACCACATGGGTTACTTCACGACTAAAAACTCTGCTCTTTATCTTAAGTACAGATATGTGTCCGGATGCATAAATATCTTAACGACGGTTTCGTACCTACTGTTCCCAATCATGCTCCCTATGTAAATTTAACGCAACTAAAGTACAAGACAACGAAATGTCTTTTTTTAAGAAGGAAAGGAATATATGTAAAATGATCCTTCATTCGATCACGTAACATCCTTTACCAGTAATAAAATTAGACAATATTTCTATTCGATCAAATATCTAGTGTTGTTAAGATTCTGAAAGTTGATTACCCATAAAAATCTTCAATGCATAAAACCAAACTTTTACTTTTTTAATCTTAAAAAGTACAATGGTGAATATTTAATTTCAAAATGGTTTTCACTATGGGATGACATCATTTGGGGAACGTGTGAATACTCAACAGTGCTGTACAACTATTTCATCCTAGTTTGAGACTACTCAGTGATTCAAACCTATAGTCTCAGAGGACATCGAGTCCATGAAAATCAGCACTTACAACGAGCATACTACCATTCAACCACCTTTACCAAAACCCATTGCTTCAAAGCTTTCAATCGTTCTCTAGCTACTGTCATTTTATGATAAAACGACTTTGAATTCAAACAGTTTTCTTTAGTCATTATGAAAGTTGTGTTCAAAAATCATGTCACAAATATGAAAGAGAGTCTTCTCACATCTCATAGATACTGCAGTTTATAAGGCATAGTTACTGTTCACATAAAGTATACTAGTTATAAAGATCAAAGGCTGTGCCTAAAGCTATCGAATCATGAACTCTGTAAGAACGTTCAATATTTATGTATGCAGAATCTAGGTCTTAAACGGATAAACGTGTACGAACTAGGTGTGTGATGTTTACATTGTCTTCAGCACATGAATTCATGGCAAATGAACAAGTAGGCCCACAAATTTAAACTGATCTCAAAATTTCATTGCAGGTTGTTAGCAAAGCGGTTGGTGTTAGTGATCTTCAAAGAAGAGAACAAGTTAAAAATAAAGTTTCATTTCTTATATGAGGTGGCTTTATGAAACAGACAGACTCTATTTACCAAACCAATCAACCTGAATTACACAAGATGGTGTAGAGAATAGAAACAAAACTTGAAAGATGAAACCATACTACACCTTATATACCATAAAACGATTACTTTATACATTTTAAGTAACATAAACTCAGAGCTTGTCCGAGCAATCTCAATCTCGCATTCTATCAACCTATTTATTCAAAAGTGTTGAATCCGTTGTCTTTCTAAGACAGAAATATTTTCTCAACCTTTTTTAAATCAGCACACTGCTTTGTTGAAGTTAAATGTATTGATAAAGAAGTTTGCTTGCATACGTCATTCAAAATCTCAAAATCAACTTAAGCATTTTCAGTAGAATATGAAATGAGTTCATGTTTACCGCCATCTCATAAAATACTTGACACTATTATAAGTAAACAAAAAAGTTCATATGTATAAAGAAAGGTTTAAAATCTTTATTTGATTTTGGCTTTGGTTAAATTAGAAAACAACATGTTGATACAAACATCTAGAATGATTTCTAACACCGCACCCAAATTCCCTAGATATACTTTCTGATCTTTTATAGGTCAAAACAAAATGCATGAACTTTCATGGGTTTAAAAACAGACAATTATCGTGTAAGACACAATAATTAGAAAAATATCTGATCATTCTGATAACGAAAAAACTTACCGAAAATTACTACACGGATGTATAATCCAATCACCTTGTTGTTCTTGCCTTAATCGTTCTCTATCTAACGCTAATTTTGTACCGAATAATTTCATAGCTAGTTTATTGCCAGTTGGTTGAAAAAATGCAAAAAACTGCTCTTTTAAATGAAATGACCCACCCGGTTTCTCATCTTGACTTAATAAGCTTTCTGATTCATGATCTGTTGATTCACTAATCTCCGATTTTATCCCTTTATCAGTTGAATTATCACTGAATAGTAAGTGCCCTTTGCGTAGATTTTTGTCTCTTTTAATTTCATTGGCGAAATCTTGATCTGTCTGCAAAATGACACTACGTGTATGAGAATTCTTAAGATTATTATTAGAATCGTTTACTGTGGAATCAGGATTGTTAATCACAGAATTACTACTGGCTGTTATATCAGTTGATTTTAAGCCAACATTACGAAAATAACTTTTATAACTTGTTGTTGTTGAGTGTCCATTGGATTTAGTTAGACGAAAACTGGCAGCTAATCGTTTCAGTGGTCTGTTTATTGAGTGTGATGTTTGCCTGGCTAAACTTCTAAGTGATCTAGGATTCTGCTTTGAAATTGGCTTCTGCCCAAATGATGATAATGTTTGTGTACAGTTGGAAAGATTAATAGCACTACTGCGCATAATAGCAGTAGTATTGTGTGACACAGTAGAAACTGGCAATTTGTCTCTCTTATATCTTAGTACACTATCGTGCACTGTATCATCGAAACTATGAACACAGAAAGAACTAAACTTTCTATTACTACGACGATCTCTAGATTCTTCATGGAATTTCGATGGAGATAAGTAAAGTCTATTTACATTAACTGTACTTCCAGTGGTGGACAGAGTCTTATTCGATAATTGTTGAACTGATAAAGAGACTAATTTATTTTCAACATTTGAGAATTCAGAGATGTTTGGGAAAAATTCTAGTGGTAAATCTGTTAATGCTGTACGAGACTGTCTAGCGCTGGCAGCTAATACAGCACGAGCTGTGGCTTGTGCAAATTTTTGATCTTCTTCATTTAAGCCCTCTGGATAATTAAAATAACTTGATTTATGCAGGGTTCTTGACCAGTCAGCTGAATGTGCTGAAACTGCCGCTTCATTCATTTGTTCACAGATGGATGGAATTCGTAAATAACTTGAATGAGCTGAAGCTGTGTGTGCAAGTGAACTAGTTGGATATAAAAGATGTGAAACATGGAGTGTTTGATCAGAATGCACAGCTGACGGTCTTCTGATATCTTCATTTGAAATTTTAGTCAATTTTGAATCAGAAGATTTCTTTGGAGAGTCTATAGTTATATCACCTTGCCAAAATTTATTGAAGTCATTTGGCTTTGATGTTGATTCTGATACGTTCTGAAAGGAATTTGATGAGCTGTATGGCGTATTTTTAAGATCACCATCATTCATATGTAATTCACAACTATTTTCCAAACTGGAAGTGAGCTTTTGCATCTTATTCACAGACGAAAATCTCTCATGTTAAAGCTAATGTTATAGACTTGTGTATAATCATCCCAATACTATGTCATAGAACTTATCAGATTGTTTATAACATAGAATAGTGTAAAAGCATCTCTATAAAAAACAAAATAATAGTAGACTAAATTGCCATCTACTTTTAAGGAAAATAACTGTGAAAATTTATCTTGACAACAATATTTTTATGATTGACTAACATCTGCTAAAATCTGATTTGCTATCATAAATATGACTGTCAGATGCCTCAATTTATCCAACTATTATTGGCTCGAATTATAAGGAGCTGCTATCAGAAGTAACCTGATTGGTTAAAATATTGCCTGATAAATATTTCCAGAGAATGGATTCTTATTTGCAAATAGTAAATAGACAGATCGTTGAACGTTTTGTATATATTGTATAAACGATTATTCTTGTTCTAATAAAGGATGATAACCAGCTAATTTATTTTCGTCCAGTTATTATCACGACATGTTCAGTCTGGTCTTTCAATAAAAACAGTATTATATTTAGAAATTTTGTCGCAGAAACTAATCCATACAATCTTTTTGTCATGTCAGAAGGCACATCCAGTAGATGAGACCCAAATAAGATGAAATATTCATTCTGTATTTCACTTCTGGTCAATATCACTAATACGAACTCTCTGCACAAACACCTAGTTATTTATACTGAAGGTGAAGTGAAAATTTGGACAGCGTCCGGATTCGAACCACCGACCACCGGGTTTTCAACCTGGTGTCCTACCAACGTGAGCTACAAGACCAGACCGCTGACCAGATTTTTACTTCACTTCATTTATCAAGGGTTTTACCTGAATCCCATGTGAATTGCTGACGCATTACGACCACTTTAACGTACTCACACTGGCTGCCAGACCAGGATTTCACACCCTTATTTCAACTTAGCTGAATTAAAGGGGAGGAGTATCATATTGACCATCATTTTGACTACCTGAATGAGATAGCCGTAGCCTCATAGCTCAGTTGGTAGAGTACCAGGCCGAAAACCCTTGGTCGCTGGTTCGAATCCCATCATGGCCCAAATTTTAATTTTGCATTCATTCATCGTCAAGTATCAGTACTAGTCTGCCAAACTGTGGCTATCTCACTCAGATAGCCAAAATGATAATCTAATTATTTATGTCTATTGCATTACAATATCACTTCCGTAATATGAAATGATCAACGCATGACAAAAAGTAATAATGGAAGAATTCTAAACTTCACGAAAGTAGTGGCTACCATAGTTCAGTAGACTAGTGAATAAAAAACTCTGACGCTTAAAGTACGGAATGAAAGGTTGTGAAATAAATAAGAATGCCAATTTTGGTTCAAATATATCCAGACGACTAATGAAAAACAGGATAAAATAAGCACCCCACTTGTCACTAAAATCAAAACAACACTTTTTACGGTGATCTGCGAAAATGCGGCAACATAATTAGTACTTCACTATGTGAAGAAGATACAGAAAGAATCCTTAAAGCATAATGCATAGAGGTCTGACTACCTGAACAATAGTTGTGGTGAATGCAGAAACTGGGATGACGGCATATTAAGAAGCTTCATATGTTAACCACAGGAATATGAACCTGCTGATGTGTGTTAAAATGTCCGATAACATACCATTTATGAATGTGTAAATTACGTAAGTCGATCACCAAGAAGGCTGATTTCTTCCCTATCCTATGGTAGCACTGTATTCAAAACTTACATTTCCTGCATTACCAATGAAGTTTAAGAGCATTTCCACAAGGTTTGACCCTCTTTATCTGTCCATCTGCATCCTATCAAAATGCATACTTCTCACTGTTACGCCAACTATTCTCTGCATGCAAGTCGTAAGTATTGATGGAATATCCAAGGTTCCGACAACCTAATAGTATACCGAATTTCGCTATATATGTTCGCATTTATACAACTGGAAGCAAACGAAATGTTTACTATTTTGAATAAAATGCACTCGGAAGTAATTTTCTAAGACCAACCGAATTTTACAGGCGAATTGTTTGTTCGAAAAAGAATATAGTAAATAAAGTCAAATACAAATAAATAATATTCTTTTCAGTAACTTATCAGGTTCTACAGTTATAAAATTAAATTGGTTAACATGGTAACAGCCGAATTTGTAGCCAATGCATTTTACTACGCATTTGAAGTGATAACTGCAACTATAATGTTTAAAGTTTGTGGATGATAGTGTAAAATATATGTATGTCGACTGCAGTGATAAGTTGAGTGTATACTTTGTGTCAAAAGACTGGTGATCAAGCGTAGTGAGTGTTTACAACATGGGTAAGGAAAATTTATAGCAAAATTCATGGTTGCATTGTATCAGTTGAGTGGTTAGCATAACAAATAAAATTAATTTACCAGAAGGATAGCAATGGAGTGCATATTTTATCATAATATGGTCAAAATTTGAAATGGTTGGATAGCATGATGATAAGAATAATAATAGTATGAATGATAAGCGAATCGTGCCAAAAAATATTCACAGATTTTGAAGTCTTATTGCAATAAGAAGTGAGGGGTAGAAGAAAATCTGGTTAAAACAGTGATCTTGAATAGAAGGAAGAAAACAGGGAAGAGAAAGATTATAAGCGAAACAATAGGATGAGGGAATACTGTTTGGTCAGTGGACAGCCAAGAAGAAGTAAGGTCTGAACATGTTCTTTTGAATACAACATTCATGCTCACTTGATCTTATAGCCACAATTTCCACCATGTGGAAAATATGTACACGAATAGCAAGTGATACAGCCTTCGTAAAACAAGACGTCACAGCGAAAACTGTGCTAGCATCTATTTGGTTTCCTGTATCTACCAGGGGTGATAATATATGACTTCTGTTGGATTTGATGTCACCGTTTGCAAACCAAGCCAGTAGATGCTCTTGTATCCTGAGATGAACACGTCTAATAGTACGCCCATGTAACCTGTTTCTTAGAAACAGTTGAACTGGTATGTGCATGTTGATGAGCTTAGATCAGGTTAGGCATCCATAAGTATCGAAACAAGCCTATTTGTTCACAGGAAATCACTGACAATTGCAGTGAAGAAAAAGAAAAGAAATTTTCTTCGCTGCAGTCGTCTTCTGTCCATCCATCAATCTTGCGCTGAACTGGTGCGAGTCTTCGAATGTCAAGCTTAAATGACAGATATGTATGGGGAAAAAGCGATATTGCGTAACCCAATACATGATTCAGGTAGCTATTGTAACAGTGAGGAACCATCTTCTTTTCTTCTAAACAGTAAAACTTGTATTTTGTCGAAAAATCTATCCTAAGGATTTTCTTTGCTAAACGGTAACCCAGCGATGTACCATATATAATTTGGTAGTCAGAAAGTAAATGAAGCTATACTTTATCCATGAGTGGTGAATAAACTCTGTTCACAAATCAATGAACATTTACTGAACTAGGGAGTACGTTAAGGTTATTTGCCTTATTATGTGTTAGTAGTTAACAGACTGTTTTGGTCGCAAGTTTCTCAAGCACCGACCAATGGAAAGCTAAATTTTCGTGTTAACTTCTTCCAGCATATTTCATGTGAAGAGAAATTTAGTTCCCTCAAAATAGTCACTTCTCAAAACTGAAATCATAATAAGTTGTATACAATGTACGTAAACCATGAAATCATCCTGCTTACCTCAGCTTTCTTAAAATAAAAAAACTAATTAAGTTTTGCTGACGAAACTATATAATATAGGTGACATTTTTAAACTTTGGGATGGTTGATACGGAGTGATGACCTAAGATGAAACCAAAACATGGGCTGTGATGGAAATCGACCCCGACGAAAGTGACACCCCTGGACTACCAACCCAGAGACCTACCAGCTGATCAGGAACTAAATTTCTTAGCCCAGCTGGTACAGAACCAAACGGTAACTGGGGGACCGTTAGTTTGAATCTTACCATGACTCAAGCCTTCATTTTACCATCAGTCATAATCCTATATCACTTGACTGATTTTTCCACTTTTCGATTCGCAAAAATGTCAAAAAAAGGAAATATGCTTAAATAGTTTATTCACGGGCCTTCAAAATCGGTTCCACCATTTGAATACCACGTGTTGTCATGGCGTCATTCATACACCAGTTTTTAGTTAGATAAGTTCAAGAACGAATTTCCTGCTAAGCTCTCAACATTTACATACATTTATACTTTAACTGTGTCCTTTCAAGTAAATTAATATCAACATAGAATCTGACATTACTGTCTAACAGTATGTATTTCCCTATTCTAAATCACCCCGTCAATTTACAAGGCGAAACAGTGAAAAATAGACGCATGGTATCATCAAAAGAACATAGAAAGCCATAAAACAAAATAAGAGGAGATAAAGCAAACAACAAAATGTGATACGATTTTTATCATGAAAGTAGGATATGAATGATATACGCCAATGCGGTCAATTTTCAGCAAAACCATATAAAGTTTCTAAACATCGGTTATCACCGTCATTACTTTTAGAAGCAACACACAGAAGCAACCAATTCGTTAGAACCATAAATTCATCTTCAGATTTGAATTTCAGTTGTCAGTGTATATTTCTAGTTCATTCAAATGAATAAAGGAAGGATGAAATGAAGGGTTGCTACACGGTATATAATTGTAAGGAATTTTTATTGTCTTTGTCAAAGATGCACTAATAGATTAAGGATTATAAAATAAAATACATTTAGTGAAGAGTCCTTCATTTCAGTGATATTATTTTCAAGCTGTACAGTCGCGTGTAAATATTCCATTCACATAGTTACAGAAAAGGAATGGTTAATAAAATATTTTTGAACGAGATTACTTTTGATCATTCATGAGGAGGTCGTAAAAAGAATCGCCTAATGATTGAAATATTAATAAGAAGAAGACATCAAAACCGAGGAAATATTTGGTTACTAAGTTAAGTGGTTTAAGAGGCTAGTGAGTTTAGTGAGAAACTAGAACTTGAGGGGTTGAATGATGTATGAGGTGTGATTCTGAAGGTCATGTCCGTCGCAGTTCAAGTCACTGGAGAAATTTCTTTTGAACGCTGAGTTCAAGCTTTGAAGTATTAATTGCCATACCCTCTGCACTTTTAAGAAGCTTTAGGTGTACATTTTCTACTGAGCTAACACGAGCTTCATAGACGACATTGAAGTTATTTT